CATCTCCTTTCAAAGGTTGGCGATTCAAATGGCAATTGTAGTTTTGGAAACTGCTGTGCGAAAGATTTCTGCGAATGAGCAGTCGAACCATCTCGTCAGGTCTTTCAGCCATGAGTTCTGGCGTCTTCCTACTGATCTTTTGCCCTGTACTTTTGCTTCCAGTATAACTTGAAGTAATTCATATCTTTCGTCTCTCAACACATAACCCAAGTATTGCATTTTTCTCTCTTTGATTACTCTTAGTAATTTTTTTATTTACACATTCGACGAAGTACCTCTACATTAGTAACTCTTTGTACCCATGGAATTCTCAACATTGGTTTGTATATATACATCTCAAAGGTATCTATTCTTTTTTATATTTCAGAGTCCATTGTCCAACTTTCACAGCCATACAGTAAAAAAATGGTCTGATCTTGTAAAAAATGTTTTCATGTTCATGAATGTTTTCCTTGCTTATTCGATTCTTGATAGTATTTCTTTTTTGGATTTCACTATTGATATTTACTCCCAAATATTTTATGTAATTTACCTGTTCTATTATTTGACCCTTGGCATACACATGTACGTTTATTGGTGTCTTTGAAAATACTAAAGTTTTAGTTTTGGAAACGTTTAGATGTAAACCGAATATTTCGCTGTGGTAAACTACCGCATTTATTATATTTTGTAGTTCTTGTGCGTTGCTTGCTATTAAGACAGTATCATCAGCATATCTGATGTTGTTTATGCTGATTCCGTTAATATTAATTCTGCCTTGGACCTGGTCTAATGCTTCTCTAAATATAGACTCCGAATACAAATTAAACTGTAGCAGTGATAAGACGCAACCCTGTCTCACTCCTCGTCGGATTTGTATATTTTCGGATGTTGTGTGCTCTATTTCAATTTTTGCCGTTTGGTGCTAGTTCTGAGTTAATTCGCAAAGTTTTTTTCGTCAACTCCAGTTGTTTTCAGAATTGCGATCATCTTTTCATAGTGAACGCAGTCAAATGATTTTCGATAGTTAATAAAATATGCATATACATCTACATTCATATCTCTGCATCGTTGCGTTAACACATATAAAGCCAAAAGAGCCTCTCGTGTTCCCAATCCGTTTCGAAATCCGAATTGAGGGTCACTCATCTGGAACTCGCACTTCTTGTAAATTCGTGTATGGATAATTCTGAGAAAAGTTTTAAGGACGTAAGACATCAAGCTTAATATTCGATAATCATCGCATTGTGAGAAATTCGATTTTTGGTAATGCTACGAATGTTGATTTTAGCCAGTCTGTTGGTATTTTACCTGTGTAATATATCTTATTGAATAGTACTGTTATTAAGTCTAGAGTGTTATTTCCATTATCTGCAATTAGTTTTAATATTTCGACATTATTATTGTCTGGAACGGTGGCTTTTCCATTTTTCTGGGATTTTACTGCGTGAATCACTTCTTTTTTTGGTTATTTCTGGGCCTTTTTCATTTATTCGAATATCTGTAGATGGTAGAGAACAAGGTCTATCGTCGTCAAAAAGAGTTTGTATGTATTCTTTTCGTCTCCATCACCACCTCCATAGCTCACTGTTTTGACAGTTTTTTCAAGCACATTCGACTCTCATTAGAGAATAAAACTCTGCTTCATTGATCAAGGTCCCAATTGACGTATACTCGGACAAACTAAAGTCAAGCTAGTTTCTGATGTGGGTTTACTCTGTGTCAGCTCGTGTGGGGTCAAAGTGGCAGCCGTAAGTGTTTACCTAACTGTTCACTGAGTGACAGTGACACCTTGTTCATTACTTAAGAATTGTTGAAGCTTAACCCCTGTCGTGTGTCGATTCCGCAAGGTACTCAGGGCAATGAATCGATAAACTCTCACTGTCTTTGCATGTCGCCGACCTGAACCTAGTCGACTGTAGGTACCGGTCTCCTGGTATGGATGGTAAGCCTTTGACACGGCACACTGCGTCATATGTAAGCGACCGGCGACAGTCCTCTTACTTTACCCTCACGAAATAATGAAATTACCTGGGCGTTCTTTACTAGGGAAGTGTCCATTTGTAAAATATTCACTTACTACACTTTGAACTGTACACACACGTCAACGTTTAAAAAGCGACTGAGACGACCACCGGAAAATTTATAGAGGTATATATTGCGTAGAACGTGCCCGTTACAATGTTTATTGTATTCCCTGTGCCATACAGAAGTAGGCAAATTTTACAACACGTTGCCAATTAGCTTAGTTTGTAGTTGTTTTAATTCAAAGTAACACAACACAAAATTACTAAGCATAGTAAACTACAATTAATCAAGTGAGTCAATTTTTTTGGTCGCAAGTGTAGATTTAATGCTTTTTAGTTTTCTACAATTGATTTTATAATGAAAAAAATGTTTTAATATTATTAAATTAATTTATTTAAGTAAGGTAACTTGTAGAGTTTGTTACGTATTGGGTATTTTGTTTCCTTATTTGGTTTGGTTTGTTATCCCCAGATATTTTTTACTTTCCCCAAAAATGAAAAAACTAAAATAAAAACGAAAATCGATTGATGCGGATTGCATATCACAGCCGTAATGTCCCTTTATGTATGCATTCGTGATTTTTAATCAAAAATCTTTTCTGACAGACAAACAGAAGAAAATAAAAACCATAAGAAAAAGAATTTGTCTTTAAATCTCCAGCAAGCAGCGAGATAGCCATCGGCTGAATTAATACCGAGTTGTGCCTATTCTTTTCCCTTTTTTTATTCATTTTTTCGTATTCTTTTTCTTTGACGCCTCTCGAGAGCATTGTGATGCATTTCTTTTTCGATTTTGATGGATACTGTCTTATTAACTTTCGGAGAAAAATTATCCTTTGAAAGGATTGGCGAAAAGGAAGAGGAGTTGGGACTGCGACGAACGCGAGAGATCTCTCTTGGCAAAATGACATAAACGCATTCAATAGCGAACATGAATATTTCAGATTTATAAATTTTTAAGAAGAGTTGTTAAGAAATACGAGTAGACTTTCCAAATTTATAGTACAATTATATTGTCAATAAATAAATAAAAATAATATGTGTAGAATTGGTCAGATGAGTACAAAAACCAATAAATAAACACACTAAACAAACTAACAACAAAAAGAATAGCATATAAAATTGGACAAATTCTTTAACTAAATAAAAAATGTCTGCACTTAAAAATTCCTTTAAATTTAGTTTAAAACTTGTTACGGTAGTCGCCAAATATAAAGAATCAAGGGCGCGCATTTATAATACTTCAAACACGCCCACCGATATAGGTTATTTCACGAATGTACAACTGTTTTGGATTATTGCGACAACGAATATTTTACTGTGCAAGTAGAAGTATAATAATAAAAGGATCTACTGTTAAGGACCAATAAAGGACCAATAAAAAGGATCTACTGTTAGTATGACATCTAAACTAAAATTATTTCAGTTAATAGATGTTCAGATAGAAACAAAATTTATTGTGAAATTTAATCCGAAAATAACAAAAATTTTTACGTTAACGCTCCTACAATGAATACACTGACGTCTAGGAAGCCAAATGTGTTGATCAGACATTTGGGTTAGGTTTCGGCGAAATGTAAACACCAAAGAGGCGTGCCGGGTTTCTTTTATATTACACTATTTTATTACTTTATTAGGTACTACAACTGTAATTAAAATAAATATACTATTTTTAGTATAAATGAAAACAAATTGACAGAACTATGGTTAAGAAACCAAAAAAGAATCTAATATTTCACTTTGTTAGTTTCAAATATTGGTTTGCTTTGAGTGGATGTACTCTTAAAAGTTCCGAAAGTAACGTGTATAACATACCGGCTATTGATAGTTGAAGTACCAAGTTACAGATATTAAAAAATAACGAAAATTTACATACAGTTTCATATATCACTGACTGATTTTAGTTTGAAAAACCGTCCTCATAGAGTTGTCCGGAAAAGAGGTGTCCGTTAAGAAAGTTTTAGTATAGTGTATTTGTTTATTAAAGCCAAAAATGCCAAGACGTGTTTTAGATGTAGACAACTTTATATTTCATTTTTATGTACTTATTTAATTTAATTCTAATTTTAATGTACTTATTTTACTGCTGAGAAAACCAACGGGGGCTCTTTGCGACCAGTTTAGTCCGTGCATAAAGATGTGTGTGATGCACTCTGTATTAGTGAATTAGTCCTACAATTTTCACAAACTTTTGCTCCTGATATTTTAGGCAATGGTACGAACTCAGATTTAAGCCACTCTACTGGTATTTTGTAATGGGTACGTTAACAAACAGAATTTGTTGAATTTGGTATAATACGAATCCAGATGAGATTAAGGGTGTCCAACCAGTCACAAAAAAGAAATCGTTTGGTATTAATTTTGGGTTGGCGGTGTTATTTACGTATTTATTTAAGGACTATATTGGATTGGCCAGGCCATCGCGTTCATAGCGCTACGACGCTAAGTTTCACATAGCTTATGGTAGATTGGATCTTCTGCACGAGTATTTTGAGGGCATATTCATATTACGTGGAGGTGATGTGAGATCGCTACTGAGATCATGCGATTTGACCCCGTTAGATTCTTTCTTGCTGAGTTTTCTTATGACACGAACAAACTACAAACCACAGCGGTCCTCAAAGCTAACATAACCAATGTCATCGGTCAACTCAACCTGATTTGTACGTAATGGAAAATATGGCGAATGCGCCAACACAGCAAAACCGCGGCAGACATTTTAACGATGGCACTCCATACATAATGGCATCGAGAAGAATTTCAAACGAATAAAAAATTTCGATAATATCTTGTACACACACTTTACTTAATTTAAATTTAAATATTAGAAGTATTTAATCAAAAATTCTAAAAAAAAACGGATGCAAATTTGAACCGTCCGGCGTCCTGGAGAGATCATTATAATATATTACCTTAAAAACTGTTCTATGATGCATTTTCAAATCGAGAGTGTTGTTAATTTCATAAATTCTAACTGATCATTTTTTCTTCTAGGTATATGAAACTATTAAATTTACTAGGAGTAACCTGTATACTTATTATTTCTTTGAACATTATACGAGCAGATCAGGATTTTTTAGAAGTAAGTTTCTATTCATTACAATGAAAACTACTTTCAACTTCCAACTATGCTTGCTGTTACAATAAACACAAAAAACCGACTATTATTTCTTATATTTGTAACTTTAAAAGAGTTTGTTTATAAATATCTACACGCCATGTAAGCGTGACATTTAAGGGCATATTACAATATACTTTTACACATAACATTATTAAAGCTTAATAAGCTCTATTTTACTATTTCAAAAACTAAATTCATAAATTCAAATTTATCAAAGTCGCAATATCTCTGGTTTTTATCAACAAAAGTTGGTGTTTATTTTTATTATGGGTACTTCGTCGCGTACGTTTTAAAAATGCATTTAGTTAATTTGTGATTTGTTTACTTAACCGAGTAATTTGTTTAAATAATCTAAAATAAATATTTACTTTGCAAAATTTTACTTTTTTCTTATTACTATCAGTAGAAAAGGTTATAAAATAATAAGCAACCCAAATATTTATGTCTTATAGTTATTATTTATGTCTTAAAATCATTAAGGCTAAACAAGATCTGCGAAAATTTTAAAAGATAATGAAAAAATTCGTGTTGAAATAGATACTGTTATTGACTAACTAGATTTGGAGCTAGTAGAAACCGATGAAAATATGCCTTAAAAAAAAGCAGATTAGGAAGACTTTACGGGCAAATTGCTCTCTGATACTGTTGACGCATATCCATTTCTTGAAAAAAAAAAACGTTTAAAACAGAACTGCAAGTACTATATGATATTTTGGGATAACATTACAAACACAAATTAAAATACGGTGCTCAACAATTGATAAGGATCAAAGTAATATTTAACATCAAAAATAGTCGGAATTTCTAAAAAATTTTATATAATTAAAACAATTTTGACAACCCATTTTGTCCAAAACTATGTGCAATTTGGGTCGATAGAAAGTCTTAAAAATTATATATTTATTTGTTCGGATCACAGCGACCAAAAATCTCATTATAAAAGTTTTTATTTCATGCCATCAATTTCGGCATAACTTTATCCGTTTAATTACATTCGAGTAGATTATACATTTAGCATTAAACTCCCGGCACTATAGGTGGCAGGGGTAAGCAACGTGATAGCGTTTTCTTTGGCAGCTCCTGTGAGGCCCCCGGAGAAACCTTATCAATTATTAAACAGCCTCAGAGTCTTAAGTAAAACAATAATTTAGACGGTGGTGTAATAGGAAAATAAAAAGCTGTGGGGCTCGTATTGGCGGCGGAGCGATGTTGCTACCACCCGTCCGGCCGGATCTATACACACCGAAATTAATATGCTGGGAGTTTGCTTGTAGCAGATGGTCTTCTCTCGCCTTCTTATTTTTGCATAAACATTTCTAAACACTTTTTTATTCGAATGAAATTAAGAGCTACACTACACGACAAAATAAACTCGACTACTAGATTTTTTAAAGTTACTTACAATTTTCAAAATGTTTGTATAATATTATATGACTGATGTTTATGCAGTGAACGGGTAAATTATGAAATATTATCATTATTTTAATAACCGTCGAGTTTTGAGGGAAATCCCGAAATAGGTCGATTTTTGTTATAAAATAGATATCTTATATAACGTACATGGAGTAGGGATGACGTCACCGGTGTAGGTGTAGTGACGTAAACGATTTAAACGAGCATTTAATTCTCTATTTAACGAGATTATATTTTTAACTCAAATATTTTTTAAGGGTGCAAAAACATTTTTTTTTTTTAATTTAAATTCAACTAAATTACAACTAATGATTTAATTCATAATGTACTTTAAAGCAACCAAATTATGCATAACAATTATTTTAAATTAAATGTTCAAAATGGTATCCATCGGTTCCTGCCAAGAATTTCTGAAGTAAATACTTAAAAAAGCAAAAATGAGTAAAAAGAATAATGAACAAAAAAGTTATCTTATAAACACTGAAACTTTTTGTCAAATGCTAATTCAAGCAAGTGATAGTGACATAATTACTATAATATTTATTGACGTAAATGTTTTGATTTTGTGAATTATCATCAGTTGTCAACTGTAATTTTTACTTTTGAATACTAAATTATGGCTCACCTAAATGAAACGCATGGAAATATTAATTCTTAGCGGATGCGGAGATAAAAAAGAACACAGAACGAGGTATGCAAATTATTCAATGCAAAATATCCAGACAGACCCACCAGCCAATCAACAGTAAGTAAAATAGTCCGAAAATTTGGAGAAACTGGGCACGTTAAACATATTCCAAACGCTTGGCGTTCTAAAATTGAAGACAATATGAAACTTGATATTTTTTAAATGTACATGACAATCCTCGCAGTAGTTTAACACAAATGAGCGAATATGCTGGAGTTTCTCAACGATTGGTATTACGTATTTTAAAAAAAGAAAAATACCATCTCTACAAAATTCAATTACATCGGGTTTAATTCCCGACGACGATACCAATCGCCGGCTTCAATTTTCTGAAATTATGCAGGATTTATGTATCCGCAATCCATATTTCATCAATCAAATCCTTTTTTCCGATGAAGCCACATTTTTTTACATGATACCGTGAATCGTCAAAATTGCAGATATTGGATTCAAGAAAACCCACATTGGTTGACTGTGGCATGAATCATTAATGACAGAATCATTGACCCTTTTTTCTTTGAAGAAAATCTTACAGGAGTATGTTATTTAACTTTTTTGAGAAATCAACTTATACCTGTCCTTGCTAACATGTATCCAAATGCCAATAATCCAAATTTACATAGTGAAAATATCTGGTTTCAACAAGACGGAGCCCCATCGCATTACGTACGTGAAGTACGTCAATTTTTAAATCATTCTTTTCCCAGGAGGTGGACCGGAAGACGAGGTTTTATAGAGTGGCCAGCAAGGTAGCCAGATCTACACCTCACCTACAGACTTTTTCCTGTGGGGTTACATACAATCAAAAGTTTATGTCAATCGACCCCAAAACTTACAGTACTTGAAAGATAGAATTAGGCATGAAATGAGTCTAATTACTCCAGAAGTCATCCGCAATGTACTTGATGAATGTGTCCGTAGATTCGGGTATTGTCAAGAAACCGATGGATGCTATTTCGAACATTTAATTTAAAATAATTATTATGCATAATTTAGTTACTTTAAAATGCATTATTAATTAAATCATTAGTTGTAATTTAGTTGAATTTAAATTAAAAACAATTTGTACCCTTAAAAAAATATTTTAGTTAAAAATGTAATGTCATTAAATAGAGAATTAAATTCTCGTTTAAATAAGGTGTCGCATTATACCGATTTTTGCAAGTATGAGGACAAAAAGGAATTATAAAACATATCACTTTTCAGCTGTATATAAAATTAGATTTAAATTAATAAAACAAACAGAATATACCATATAATTATCAATATAAATAAAAGTAGGTAATTATGATCCCGATGTTATTTTTGGTCCTCTAAATTTATAAAAAAAACTGTCTCTATTTAAATAAAATATCCAAAACAAAAATTTGTACCGAATCTCTACTACTCTAAACTTTAAGTTGTTCCTCCTTATGCTGCTTCTCCAACACTCCTAACCTCGTTCACTCTCGATACCAAACATATGCGGCATCGTCTCAAATAATTCTTAAATTTCAAGAAAAACTTACAAATTCTGGATTTGAAGATCTATGCTTACGCTCAGGTTTTATGCTGCCCAAACAAATTCACAAACTTCCTTTCTAGATTCACTACTATATCTCTCAACGTAAAAACACTTTTTTTCTTATCACAGGAATAGCTCTTTCTCTTGTATTTCTAACTTAGACTCTTCTTTTTTTCTTTCTCCCAAAAAAGCAAACCAACTTTCCTTTTCTCTTCCTTCACATAATCTCGCTCTCGAACCAATCAAATCACTCAAAACTAACATATCTTTTCATCTCCTCTCTGTCTCTAATCAAAAATTTCCTAATGACTTACTGTGCTTTCTTTTACTAAACAAAACCATCAAATTCCTTGGTCAAAAAACCCCTATCGACCTTTCATTATTTGCAAGATGAATAGACAGCTTTCATTTTTACACAATTTACATTACTTGGAAACCGGAGTTCAATTTTAGATTAACTTTCTAAGTCTAAGTTAGTTGACTAATTAAGAGAAAATAATTAGATATACAAATATTTCATAGTAGTTTGGTGTGCACAAGATTTTATACATTTTTTAAACTTAGTTTCTTTGATGTTTCCTACATTAATAACATATTCTTAATCTAAAGAAACATACATATATATGCCTGCATATTCAAATTTTTAAACTGGAGACGTATAATAAATCCCCGTCGTTTGGTGAAATAAAAATTTTTGTACAGGCAACAAATTTTATTGAAGCAAATAAAATGTCAATACATGTCAATTTTAAGAAAATATAATATTACCAATACAATATTTTTATTAGTACCCAACCTATGAAAGAACATTTTAAATTACCTTCTTATTCGCGTTAATGTCATGTCTGTTAAAAATTTCGCGTATCTTATCTGATTTCAATTTTCGTAGCACATATATGTTAATGTCATTTTCATTTTACTGCGTAAATTGTATTATTTACTGTCCGTCAAATAACGGCATGAGATTTACACATATATTGTTCGTGATATTGGATACTGTTAAAGCACTTCCAAAACATTTTCCCATTATGAAAAGTGACTGGTTGCCTTTTTCTGTTTCTGTTTTGTCTCTCCAGATATTCTTCGCTGCTTCGACATAGCCTTCGCTAAACAGTTTCCAACACCTCTTGATATTCTCTGTGTTCTGGGTCGGTGTTAGATGTGGAATTGAGATCATTTTCAATTTTGGATATCTTTCTATCCCATCACTTAGGTTGTCCATCAGTTGCAATTCCGAGAAACTTTGTAACTTCTTGAATAAATCTTTCCGATGAATTGCTTTAAGGATGCCGAGTGCTTATAGATTTTGTCTCAATTCCTCTTACTCTAAGATTCACCTTAAAACGTTCATTCCTA